CTACACCAGAGCCCACAAAGGGCTTGGATTTCTTCTCCCCCCCCCTTTCTCTCCCCCCCTCCTTCCCCCCTTTTTTTTGTCTTTCCTCCTTTCTGACAGAAATGAGTGTGGATCTTCCGCCCTTTCATGCCGCTGATCCGTGGTTTAGGTAGTTTCATGTTGTTGGGGTTGGCTTTTAACTCGGCAACACGAAACTGCCTTAATTACGTCAGTTAGTCTTCATCAAGGGCAATCGTCCCTTTCCCTTTTCTTCTTCTTCTTCTTCTTCTTCTTCTTCTCCCTCTCCTTCTCCTTCTCCGTTACTCACACGCAACGAGATCAGAGCTGAGAAACAATTTTTTTAAAAAAATAAAGAAAGAAATAAAACGCAGGGAATCCAAAAGAGCAAAATGTTTCGTGCAGATTTTTTGTCATTCCAAAAATAGAAAGAGGGAGGGGGGAGACAAAAGGGGGGGCATGACTGGGTAGAAGGAAGCAGGTTCGCACTAAAGTCCCCCCCCCCGGCATCTTCCCCAAGAGTCTCCCACTCCAATTCCCTTAACCACATACGGCTACTTATGGACTTAGATGAATTTTGCCGGCTGCTATTGTTTCTGGCCGACGTTGTTGTCAAGGCGGACAAAACGGGGTCCCTCCTTGAGAATTCCTCATCGAATTATTGAGTTGGCTCAAGTTAAGGCCTCGAGAGTTGTCCGAGTGTCACCCGCGAGTGTTCCGGGTGCCTCCTCTCTCTCGTTCTTTCTGTGTCTTCCGTATGCGCTGTCTTTGGTTCTTTGGAATGCTTCAGATTTCTGAGAGGATCTAAGAGAAGAATATCTCCAAAGAATATGTGTGGTGACTGATGCTAATATATATGTGTGTGCGCGCTCAATAAACCGGCACGCTGACGGTGATTGGAAGGCTAAAATTACAGCCTAGTAACTTCTATGGCAATCTCCTGTTGCCATATCCTGGCCAGTACTCTGAGTATTAAATCAGATAAGTTATAGCATATTATGTTCCTTGAAGGTGCATTGAAGAACAAAGCAGTAAACGGGGAGCCAAGGCTCGCTCTGTCTCCTTAAGAATCCAAACAGCTCAGGTTTAAAATTTAATAGCCATTTTACATGCTAAAATCCAGGGTGGGCTATCACTTGCAAGAGCTCAAGTCACACTGTAGCTTTCTGAACATAGACTGGAATAGAATCTGCTTTATTTTCACCCAACTGAGGAGATCTGTGAAAGCTAAGTAACTGTTGACTAAAAAACATTGACTCTGCTCAGTTATGTGATTAACAAGTTGTTGCGCTGGTGGTTGATGTTGGGGTGGGGTGGTGGTGGTGGAGAATAAGGATTAATTTTTTTAAAAGGAGGGTTGGAAGGGAAAAGAATAGCTATGAGAAGATCACGGTTTCGAGATAAAGGTGTGTGTTGTTGTTGTTTTTGCCAATGGAGAGCATAAATGTTGATTTGAGATCAGCAATGCGAAGGTGGCAGTTCCATGAGAAAGGTGCTGTTTTGCTTTGCTTTGTTTATCTATTGCGAAAATGAATGTTGAGTTGAGATTCCTCCAGTTTTATCCTTCTGTATGAGGTTCAGGGTTATCCTCCAAGAAGTAAGGGAGAGGCATCCCCCTCCGGCTCTCAAGTAATGCGAGGAAAGCATCCTGAACAAGGAACACAAAGTCATCACATTTTCTGTAATATTTCAGAAGGAATGAATGACTCTTTTATAATATGCTGATTGTACGGTCATTATATAAGTTTCCCCTAAGCTTGATGAAGAAGGGTTATGAAGATCAGAATTGTCTTTCTAGGGAGGCAAGATGGCAGACCGTATGGCTTATCCCTCCTCCCAAATTCGGTTTCGAGTAGAAAACATTTATTTTCAAAAGAGGGCTTTCCCCCACCTTGCTGCATCTTTCATTGCAAAGTTCTTGCACTGCTTTTTAATTTTGATGCTTCAATCTCCTTAGCAAACTTTCTGTAGGAGAGATGAGAGGATCTGATGTTCCTTCGACTTAAGCTCAATCAGCTTTATAATAAGCAAGAGAGAAATTAACGTGGTGGCCTTGCAAAGGAGCTTGCATAAGAAAATAAACAGGCTGGTTTTCGGCTTTTATTAGATGACTGTCTTGGTTTATTATGTTAGATATCCGCCTTTTTAAAAGCATGCAAACGCGCTTGGCTTTGGCTCAAAGTAAACATGGTATGGACAGCGGCTATATTCGATATGCCCCTAAGGTTGGATACACACAAACATTCCTTCTGAGCTTTAAACGTTTTAATAAGCAGACGTAATACATAAATGCAAAGATTCATCCTTTGCGCTTTGTTACTGTAAATTAGTATTTCAACAGATAAATATACCTGATCACAGAGACCATAATTATGCTCAGTAGTCCTGGGGTAATTGATTGGTCTCACTATTCATTATGTACGGGAAAGTTTCCCCTTCTCTCCATATTAACAATTCTCATATCAGCCCCTTTTTATTTTATAACAGTATGAAGAAGGGTGGTGAGGGGGGAAAAATCTATCATGCAGTTGTGAAGTTTAATTTAACCACCAGCACCCCAATGTACAGAGGGAAGTCTAAAGTAATATATGTTTAATCGACCCAAGTCAAGAAATGTAATAAAAGTTAAATCCTCCCCTACTGTGTTTTTTCTCCTTTAAACGATACTATTAGATCTGGATGAAAGCGGAGAATTTACAGACTTAAGCATTATTGCACCGAGTTCCTTTATCTCTTATGTGAGAGCATGTGTAATTATGACGACCTCGTGCTGTTTCCTGTACATCTCTCCCTTGACAAAATATTGTTTTGCTCGTTTGCTAAAACGTGCTTGTCCTTTCTGGGGTTTGTTGTTATGCATATAAAATATTAGCAGCTTTCCAATGTGGGCTTCCAGTGCCGCTTCATTTTTCTTGTGTATGTTGCTGTTATTCTGCGTTTCACAGCAGGTGTAACTTCAAAAGGCTTCTGTCTTTGTGTTTAGACCTACATGCTGATGTTCCTCGCAATTTAATCGTTTAGTTTCTGAGAGTTTTGAAGATCCTGGGAACGATGCAAAGATACACCCATCCACATCAGTAGATCAATACATCTGTTAGTATATCTATCAACGTATCTATTTATCCACACAACACATTAACTGGCCACAATCCAGCAACTGCACATACACCTATTGATTTCAATTATTTTCTGCGCTCATTGCCTGTGTTGGATTATATTTGTGTATAATTCGAATGTCTGCACACATATACGGTGTGTGTGCTTGCATTTCTTTTAAGTATGTGTGCATATGCATGCTCTCTGTATATGTGTATAGGTATGTTTGCATATACAGACAAGGAGTATTGAACAGGAGGTGTATATTTTTAACTGGGGGGAGCCATTAGTTTGGTAAAGTTAATTTAGTTCACCATGTTCGAATATTCCTTCAGTCTGATGGAGATTTGGAACTCTTTCATTGATATTTGTATGTGCGTATAATTTAATCCTCAACAGCCTTCTAGTGATAAATGCAAAGGAATCTCTCCTAGATGTTATGTTTTCTTTTTCCCCACCCCCTGTATGCTTTCGCATAATTACTGCCTCATTTAAATAGTTCCTCGAAAGTCCAAAGAACGGTCCAAATTGTTTCATGGAGTACAAGGGAGGGTGGTGTGTGTGTGTGTCTGTGCGATGTTTTGTTGGCATGTGACTCTGTGTGTGCGTGGGTTTGTCAGGAGAAAGTTCTTTTTTGCTCAGCCCTAGGGGAGACTGCTGTGCCGAAGGCAGGTATAATGAGGCCTAGCAAAGGAGCTTGTGCGTGGAGCTGCAGCTTGGGGTTGGAATGCGTCCGCCTTCAGTTGAAACTTGCCCTTGTTTGTAAATGCTGCCTTCGCTGCTTAAAGTGCATCTAACACCTTCCAGTCCTAGCCGGCTCTGCAGCTCCTCGACAGCTCCTCGACAGCCGCTTTCAAAAGCAGACGACGCAACTTTGCATCCTGGAAGTAGCCTTATCTTGTGATGGATATAATTACAGCCTGTCTCGATAGAAAGGAAGACAATCGTGGTGGGGGAGGTATAGAAATATGTTGAGGTGTTGGTTTTGTGGTTATTTTCTCCAGGCACTGGGCTTGGTGAGTCTAGGGTGGCTGTCCTTCTGTATTCGCTGGATTTTGGAAATCTCTTGGCCGTGTGTGTGTTACCCCAAAGATATGGCTCAGGGGACCAACCATTTTATGTCTCGTTTAAATGTTGTTGCCCCCTTGTTGACTCTCGAGATCCTGTATTATTATCATTTCTTCTTCTTTTTCTCCTCTCCTGTTTTTTTTTTTTAAGACACCACAACACAGTGACATAAATTGGTCCTGAGGTTTAATTGCACTTCGGAATTTATTGTCTTCTGCCTCCACCTCCAAGCACTAAGGAGTCTGGAATCCAAAGTCATAACATCTGACAAAATTCTTAGCAACAAGCAAGGAGGTTGGCTGCGGGGTGGGGGGGGGGGAGGCCATTAAACAGGTACAAACTCCTCCAGAGTAAGTTTAAATTGAATGTACAGTTTAAGCGGCCTGCTTCTTTCTGTCTTCCTTTGCTCTTTACCCTGGGGTTTAATTTAAAGATCACGCCCATAGGAAATAAAGTTAAATACATAATTCCCATCAGTTTACTGGGGGGGGGAGGGGAGGCTGAGGCGGGACACACAAGACCCTGACCCTTATATATTTAAGAAATCAAAAGGAAGTCTAATTTTTGCACGGTTAGAGACTTATTATTATTATTATCGTCGATTATAGTGTGTGGCAGAAATTTGTTAACTTAGGAGGACATAGGATTTAGGGCTAAAGAGAATCAGGTAGCCAACATATTTATTGGCAGCATTTTCTCTGCAAGGAAAGGCTAAGCGAGAAGGTGGCGGGGAGATGAAGGGGGAAGAGGGTGACTTTAAAGCAGGACAGAAACGATCATCTCCAGGAGCAGGAGGACAAAACTGAGGCCACACCCCGATCCGAAGTGCCTCTACTTAGAAGTAAGCTTCGTTGATTTCACTGCCACTTCCTTCCCAACCAGCCTGCGGAGGATCGCAAGCCCTTCAAAGCTTGGGAAGGGAAAGGGAGGGGAGAAAAAAAAGGGGGTCTCTCCACATGGGGAAACTTCAAGGCTTGACTTTATGCTTAGTTTGCTTTCGCTTATGAAGGGCTGTCAACACTGCGACGCCTTCAGCCTACAGCTGTGGGGGCCTGCAGGGGAGGCGAAACCGGTGCGCCGGGAGTTCCCAAGAAGAGGAGAAAAGTGGATTTTTTAATCCGAACTTGACGGTGTTTATTGAACCAAGTGGAAACTCGGAGCGAAGGAATGCGATTTAAGAGACGCCGCTGGTCTGCGTGTCAAGGGTGGCGTGTTTGGTCTGCTAATTCCAGGGCCCTCGCTGGAAGTTTGTTGTTCCAAACCTCTCGTCCTCGGGTTAGCCAGCGACACTATGGGGAACTATTTATAAAAAGCTACGCGGTGGCTCGCCTGCCCCACTTCTTCACAGCTTCCTGGTGCGAATCCAGCAGCTGCTCACTCAGGAGTCCGTGTGTGTGTGTGTGTGTGTGTGGCGTTGAAGCCTTGGGTGCCTTAGGCCAGGAGTCGGTCTATGGAAAGGGAAGCGTGGAGTTATGAAGAATACGCCAAGGCAGCTAGTGAGCTCGGGCTTCTGTTGGGGGGAGCCAAGCTGGTGGGAAACTTAACGATTTAAACAGGGCTATATAGGGGTTTTAGGCGTGCAGCCATCCTTTGATGGCTGGATTCTCATTACGGAGGCCTTAAGAGGGAGATGGGAGTCGCACTGAGTTCCAGTAATCCAGTTATGTGCAGATAAAAACCGGAGAGGGGGAGAGACTCATGGACAGAAGGAGGGGGTGTTAGGTGATAGTTCTTCAAGTTTCCTTACATACACTACCAAAATGGCGGAAGTAGCCTAGAATATAATGATTTTTTAGTGTCAGGTCTATACTGAGGATCAATAAAACACCAGTCGGGGTCACTCCCCCCTCCCTCTTCATTCACATCACAAATGACGACCTAGGATTTTTATATCTACTATATAAATATATATGCATGCTGCATATATAAGTACAACTTTTCTAATGCATTTTCATCATCATCATCATTCAGCGACCCCCTTTCCATAGTTAGCTTCTTTCGTCATAAAAGAGACTGAAGAAGCAGACGTGGACCACATTACTGCAGGACTGATTGTCTTCCATCAAAGGGACACGATTTTGATAGAGAGACGTCTGTCGCTGAGACTGAGACGCTGGGCAGAACGCGTAGAAACGTAGCCATTTAATCTTCTAGGTAAAACTATACCTTTGATGCCAATATGTTCAACCTCTCCGGCTGGGATTCCATCTCCGAAAGGAGAAATGTTTCAGAACAATCATTTCTTCGCCACAAAGGTCAGCCTAAGTTTTCCCGTGTAGACAGAGCCATGGGGGTAGAAGTATCCAAACAGCAGTCTATTTCAGAGGGTCTCTGGTTATATCCTGCGGTTACGCATGCAGTTAAAAACTGATCTAATCCTTCAGTATTAAGGACATGTCTTCATTTTATCTGTAGACAAACTGCTCCCTTCCCTCGACTTCTAGTTCGACTCCCAGGCGCAGGACTCCTTGAACGAGGAAGGCATTGCACTACAAGTCCTAGACTAGGATCATTGGCTATGAACAACCTGCAACACTGGCGAAAGTTGATTTTAAAAGCGGGGGGTGGTGGTGGTTTGAAGTCCTCCTTATAAATAAAGACACCCTTGGCTGTTAGGCTTCATTTTGTGTAAACATTAAAATGCTCCATCCAAGAATATTTTAATGACCTTCCTTGTATTAAGGTTAACTACCGTGTTTACTTTTCCACGCCCTTTTCTTTTATAATCCACGATTCTTGATGTGTTAATTACATGTTAGATCTTCTGTCTTTTGGGGGGGGGGGAACACGCCGTTGTTCTTTCTATCATTATTTTTCCTCTAAGCAGAAAGTGTATATTTGTGTGTGTGTGTGTGTGTGTGAGAGAGAGAGAGAGAGTGTACGTCTAAGCAAACTACTATTCCTTTGCCATATTTATTTTTGTAAAGAAAATTATATTTTCAGTGCAACCCAAGCGAACATTTCATCTTCTCGGCGCATTTCCCTGCATATTCTCCCCTCCCCTCTTCTTAATTTCTGCATAGAGGACGCCTCGAGAAAGGAATAGATGATGGCTCGGTATTAGCTTTCCTCCGAACGTTCAGAATAAGGAGAAATGAAGTCACTGGAGACTTGTGATTGACAGATAAAATGAACTCAGGAAAGGCCAAAGGACATATTATGCTCCTATAGGAATATTTCCCTTCAAGAAAGTGCTAGGCTGAAAACGGTATGAGCATAGTGGGCAGGAGATGGCTGGTTCAGGTTTCACAGCAAGACTGTTTTCAAATTTGGATTTCTTGGATACACACACACACACACACACACAGGAGTACATTTCTATTTAAAGTGTGCACCTTATGAAATAAAAAACACTATTTTCTCTACATCAGCTATGGTAGGCTGGTGCACAAATGATCAAGAACTCGTGAATTAAGATGCAGGCAGGAATATTTAATCAGCTCCTTCAAGCAACTTCTCCAGAGTCTTTTTTTCAACGGGAGAGGAGGAGGAAAGGGAGAGATTTCTGCAAGGATTTGACTGTGTCTCCTTCCTTCTCCCTACTCTTCGGATTTCCCAAGCAAGGTGCCTAAAATAAACCCACTCCTGCTCTGTTTGTGTGTGTGTGTAGGGGGACCTGCACACTCTGTGTCGAGTGTAATGTCACTGATGGATACTGCATCCCTCAGGGGCACATGCCCCTCATCTCTCCTTCTCTGCCCTCTGCCTTTCTCTCTCTCTCTGTCTCTCCCTGGAACCTCCATAACCTTCCCTGCATACACTTTTCTTGTGCCTTCCCCCCCTTTTGTTGCAAATTTACCGCACCTCCAAGCCGCCTCTGCTGCTATTACATGGGAAATCTTGAGTCCTCTTTGACAATGTAAAAATAAATAAATCCATCTCTTCTTGCTGCTGCTGTTGTTGTTGTTGCTGCTGCTGCTGATGTTATTGATGATGTTGCTATTCTTGTTGCAGTCCCCCCCCCCCCGGGTGTGTGTGTGTAATCCTTTTGCAGATTTCTTCTCCCAGAACAAGCGACCAGCGCCATCCTTCCAGACTTCTATGGGCACAAGCTCTCTTACCTACTACTTACTCTCCCAAGCAAAGGTTATTATTAAAGCACATGCACATATCAAACACGTCTTCCAGTGAAGTTCTGCAGACGGTTTGGTAAACAAAAAAGTTCCAATGACATTGTTTAAATAATAAGTACAGCAATAAAACCCAAGAAATCAGACCCTACTTTAAAAAAGAAAGAAAACACCTCACACCCTGGCTTGGTCTCTGAACATGCAAAAAGTCCCTCACTCCAAGCTATGCCTTGTAAGTGAAACTTACTCGTACAGTTTTATTTAATGAACGACACATTTATGAACAATCAAATGATCCTCGTAAAAATTTTATTGAAGGACATAAAAACATCCACGGCTACTTGCCGAATAATGTAGCCTCTCAGAGAGTACAAAGATGAGAGACACCTTTTTTGTTATTATTTTCCACTCATGCTTTACAAGGTCATCTTCACCCTCCCAGAAGATAGTTATCTCGTGTGTATACACACACACACATACATAAATATATATATATATATACACAAGCAAACTTACAAATACATGCACACTCACATACACACACATAGATATACATATACATAGAAATACCTATCTGTCTATATTTAGCTATCTATTTATATCTAGATGTAAAGTCAAAGTACATGACCCCAAGATTTCTTGCTGCTAAATAAGCTGACGAATATGCCTCCTAGTACAAATGACAAAAGGTCCTGTAATCAGGCAAAAAAAGGAAAAATATATATATAATGCTCATAGCCATTCATGGGCTGGCGCTGAAGAGGGGGTGAGCCGGCAGTGCAACTCTGCTAGGACCTTGAACCGACCCCCTCCCCCTTTAAAGATATTCCATGTAATGTATCCATTATAGAATACAAGCTGTAGAAGCAAAGAGACCAGACAGAGACAAATTGCGTCAAGAAATAGTTCCTGTGATACCTTGCTACACCAGATACCTTGCAGACTCATTAATAGCAGGGCTATGGAAAAGCCAAGTCGCAGAGCGAGCGAGCCGGCGAGCGAGGGAGTCGCCTTTCAGCTAATGGCACGTAAGAACCAACCGCTGCTAATAACTGCATTATTTCAAGAGTTTTATGAAAACCCAAGACGCATAGGCGCTATTTAAGAAAAAAAATAGTAAGAGGGGAAGGGGAAAGGGGAAAAAAAAGACCTGCGGATTGATCTACACTGTATTTTTGGGTAAATACAATCACGTGAGAGCTGGGAGCCAATGACAAACTAGGAAAGGCTGAAAAAATAATTACCTGCCCTGATTGTTCTATGAGAAGATAAAAAGTACACATACAGTTCATACAATAATCTTATGAATGTAAAAGAGGGGGGAACAATGTCGGCTTCTGGTCCCATAAGCAACTATTATGTAGATTCCTTGATTAGTCATGAAAGCGAAGAACTGTTGGCATCAAGGTTCCCAGCTACTGGCTCTCACCCTGCAGCAGCTAGACCTTCAGGACTAGTACCGGAGTGCGCAGATTTTCCATCCTGCAGCTTTGCCCCCAAACCGGCCGTTTTTACTACTTCGTGGGCTCCCGTGCATTCCCAGTCGTCCGTGGTCTACCACCCGTACACCCACCAGCCTCACATTGGAACTGACACCAGATATATGCGCACTTGGCTGGAGCCTATCTCCGGCGCTGTCTCTTTCCCAGGTTTTCCAGCCAGCAGCCGGCACTACGGGCTTAAGCCCGACGCCTTCCACGGCCGCAGGGACTGCGGACCGGTGGATGGACGTAGTTATCCGGATTATATGTACGGATCCCCGGGAGATCTCAGGGACAGAACCCCGCAGACTATTCCCTCCCCGGAATCTGAGGCCATCGCTTCCAACAAACACAAAGAAGAAAAGACCGAATTGGACCCTAGTAAGTCGAAGTCATTCTTGTTTACAACCGGGAGGGCATTACAGCCCTCCTGCGCAGTACTCAATAAAAAGAAATTACCTTGCTGTTTAGAATTCTTGGCATCCTTGCCTTGAAAACTCCAACTGGACAGGCTTAAAAACCTGACTTAGAAGATCATAAGGGCAGCTTGTAGTTTGTTTGGTTTAGGGGAAAGAGGGGCGGGAGGAGAAGGGAGTTGGGGGGGATCTCTTCTGTGGTGATGGTGATGATGATCGTTATTATTTTGTTTCCTCACTTTGGAGAATCCACTTGTTTGATAAAATATTCATAACCTCTCCCATGCCCTCCCTTCTTTGCCCTCCCTCGTTCGTACTTTTCGAGGAACGGGGTCTGGCTAGCGAAAGAGTTTGGGCATGTGCGAGGGGAAAATAGCATGGATATGCATTTATTTATTTTTTCAAAGGGAGGTCGGTAGGCATGATTCATAAAATCTTTGCATCAAGGCAAAAGAACATGCCCTGGCTGGTAGTGGTGGGAGAGAAGTAGAAAATGAGTGCAGATTATGAAAAGCAAAAGATTTGGACTATAAGAAGTGCAAATAACCAGCTATAATTTAATAAATGGAGGAGGGGGATCTTTAGAAAGAACAGTGGACCACGTACATTTTTTTTTGGTGAGGGTTATACAGTTCAACGTGCTGGGGAAAGGAGTAAAAGAATAAACGCCCTTGAACACTGACAAAAGAGCAGATCTAGGGGAACCCAAGGTTTTGTGCATTGCTAGTTTAAAAAGTAATAATTCTTCTGCACAGTAAAATGTTCACTTCCTAGTGGCCATATGCCATCTAAGTGTGGGTGATTGTTTCTGGGCAATGAGGAGTCAAGGCACAGCATGCAAAATATATGCCAGGAATTAATACCTATTTGTGTGTATATTCTGGATGTCTCTGTGTGCCTTTTTGTGTTCCATATACACAGAGACGCTCACATGTACACACAGCACAATATCTACCCATGCCAGGTGTTTACAAAGCCTTCAGGCCTAACAATCTGATCAAATGCTGGTACAGTTTAATCCTGGTAACTTCTGTGTCTTTGTGCCATGTCAGCACAGAGGCAGAAGTATGTGCGCTTTGTGTGTGCATATGTGTGTATACACACACATACACAGTGCTATGGAGGGAATGTAGCTAAGGAAGTTGTTTAAGTAGCCTTGAATCAGGAGCATATTTGCTGAGTCCAAATCTCACAAAAAGAGGAAGTCTAAGTTATGACTTCCCCCTAACAACGATGGAAGGAGGTTTAGTATAAAATAAGGTGCTTTGGGATTGAGAGGGGGAAATATTTTTCTTGGACTCAGTAGACTTATCCTGGGGCATTCTCAAGATATTAAAAAAATGCCAGCAGTTCCATCAGTGGGAAGGTTATAGAGAGGGGATTGGAGAGTAATGGTTGTAAACAGAGTTTATGGGCCTGTGAAGTGGTGTGAATTTTGACTCTTTATGACTGTGTTCTTGGATTACTCCTACTAGTGTTCATGTGCAGGAGTATAGTGTTATTGTTATTATTAAACTCATTGCTCCAGTTTTTCTTTTAAACTGCAACATGCTGGAGACAATGATCGCTTAGCTGAAAACAGTATAACAGTCAGAAGCAGGATGCAAAGTTGTTCCACCAGAAATCATTGAGAACTGTCTCATTGCCGTTAACGTTGATGTGCAGTGCACCTTCACGTTCTATAAAAGAATACACACGCCCTTAAACTATCCTGAAGGTCACTTCAGATTTGATCGGATCACGCTGCCAAACAGAGGGGACTTTTTAAAAAACAAAACAAACCCCCGGAAGAAGAATAAATGGATGGACCTGGATCTGTGGGGTCCACCAATTTCAGTTAATGATATATATTTACACATACACACAAACATATGTTTAAACTGCCGAACTGTTTCTTTTCCAGACAACCCCGTGGCAAATTGGATTCATGCGCGTTCTACAAGGAAGAAAAGATGTCCCTACACGAAGTATCAAACGCTGGAATTGGAAAAGGAGTTTTTGTTCAATATGTACCTAACACGGGACCGCCGTTATGAAGTGGCCAGGGTTCTTAATCTCACGGAGCGTCAGGTCAAAATCTGGTTTCAGAACAGGCGAATGAAAATGAAGAAAATGAACAAGGAGAAAACCGATACTAGTAAAGACCAGCAGCAGTGAAATTGGCCGAGTCTCTCCAAGCCAATGGAGAAACCGAGGCGCTGGGTCTTCCTTGGGGTTCGAAGTGTTTCTGACTTTTTTCCGTGTGCTGATGAGTGTTTAGAATTAGTTAAACACAGCAACCATTCTGGAGCAAAAAGACATAAAAGAGTGCTTTTATAAGAAAAAAAAATATTAAAAAAACTACGACTAAAAATAAACATTTTCTTTTCTTTTCAGAAAACAACAAAGTACTTGAAATTTTTTTTAAAAAGTATTTTATTTCGTAAGTTAAATTTATCCAGTGGTTTGTTTTTTTTTAAATAATTATTATTATTTCATGACGTCGTGGCTGCATATTTTGTACAAAAGGAAAGGAAAGGTGGGGGGAAGAAGAAGAAAGGAAAATAAGTGATCGCTCAAACAATGTTTCTGTCATCGTGTTGAACGTTTCTGGTGTACTTATTTGTGTCTTCTATGATTGTCACAGAACCGTTCTGTAATGCTGTTATGTTTTGCTATAGTAGAGCAGCTCTCTGTAAATATATACCTAACGTCACAAAAAAAAGAGGAAAAAAACCAACCTTTGATAGTCGAGGTGTCTTTTTTTATTATGATGATTATCTTTTAAACTCTCTAGGAGATATCACACCTTACCCACCCACCCCGAACTTCCACATGGATTGCTGGAGTGGGAGGTAGAGAAAACCTTGCCTTGGATTCTCAAAGACAGAACTTCGGAAAATACGCCCCTGGAATTAACAGTCTCTTAGAGAGAGAGAGAGAGAAAACTGTTGGAAAAATGCCCTCTTTCAGGAAGTCCGATAGGATAGTAAAATAATAGAGCTTCCGCTCACAACATACTCCCCCCCCCCCATCTCTTTCTCTCTCTCTCTCTTCCCTCCCGCCCCCCAATTCCATATATCTATATCTGTATGTCTATATAGTGGTAGGCTCATAAAAAGAGACATTTGGGTAAGGGTGAGTGTGTACTGCACATTTTAGTCTAGGGTAATTAATTGTACTAATTTATGGCCTCGGGCAATCAAACTATATGTACGAGATTAAATACGTGTGAGCAGCATTTGCTCATGCAACAGTCTTACCTTTTGTTATCTATCCGAGACAAGACTATTAGAACTCTTTGGGATTATCAATTAAGTGCCAAAAATACGTTACTGTGCTGCTTGGGGGCCCAGTCATCTTATTACTTTCGGGTGTAATGTATCAAGAAAATAACAGTCAATGGTTTGTTCGCATTAGTGCAGATGGTGAAAGGATGGGAATTAGGAGGTGGTAATAGTTTACGCCAAAAGAAGTTTTTTTGTTTGTTTGCTTGTTTTTTTTTAAGGGATTAAGGAAGTGCAGTTGAGGACTGGAAGATTCTCCTTCCAGCCCCTCTGTAAAGAAACAAGTTTCTGGACAAAACGCTTATCCTTCACTTCCACAGGCTAGCAGAAGGCAAACCTGTGAGTGTTAAAAAATCAGATTGTTTGCACTGCGTAAGGACGAGTTAAGTGACACGAGGTGGATGGAGGCGGGGGGGAGGCAAGGGATTTTCGTTTTCCTTTTTTTTTTTTTTAAAAGGGTCCATTTTATCCTTCCCTACGAATGGATGTTTCCGAAGGTCCTTTCCAAAGCTTGCTAAATGAAAGACCAAGGGATAACAAATGAGGAGGCAGGAGATGTCTCAGCATAACAACTTGTTATGAGGTCCCTTTCTTTAATGAAATGAGTCCAGCACTGTTTTAATCTTTCTAATGATAAACAGATCGTTGGGGGGAGGGAGGCCGGGTAGGGAAATCGCGGCTTGGGGTTTGCCCAGCCGGATCCAACCTTCTCAAGGAACGAACAAACGAATAAATAAATAAATACAAATCTGGAAGCCATTATACCCGCTGATGTCATAAAACATTTCTTTCGCAAAGCTTCTTTCATTAGACACCGGTTTGTGGCTTTATTTATTTATTTGCTTGCTTGCTTACGAAGGCGAAAGGAGCTTTTACACACACACACACACACACACACACACACACACACCCCTGATTGGCGGAAGAGAATCGCTAACAAAATCTGTTTTAGCCTTCATCCGCTGATGTTCTTCAAGGTACAACCGGGGGTGGAGGTGGGGGGGGCAGACCTTCAGGAGGAGCAAGAACATTGCTAAAAGCCAACCTTCCACCCAGTGATGACCGTTTATTATTTCCCCACTTTTTAAACTTCCCGAGCAGTAATCATGATAATAATAACAATAACTGCTATGGCAATTGTTTTTAGATTTGTGCGTCTGTGGTGAGGGAGAACAAAAAGGGAACAATCTCTATAATCTCTCTCTCGCTCTCTCTTCATTTCTCTCTCTCTTTCTGTCTACCACCACCTCGGTGACAGACTTGCGGCCCACCGAGAGGCCGTTTTATTAACTTTGATCCTTCACCATGCTTGTAGAACCTTCCAGTTCCACCAGACCTCATTTTCAAGATTACTAAAGATGCAGTCTCTTTCACCTTTCTCTCTCCCTCTCCCACCTCTTCCTCCCTCCCTCACCCCACCCCTACCCTGACAGACTTCAGCAGGGCTGAACTCCCATTGGAGCTAATGGGGACGAAAAGAATGTAAGTTATGCTTCCTTTGTCTCCATAAGACTGTTGTTCTCCTCTCTCCCCCTCCCCGCCTCCCATTGCTTTCTTCTGACTTGCTTTGTGTGCGGTTTTAATGGAAGAATACAGTTATAGTTCATGTGCAAGTCTTCTGCCAAAAATCCAGGATGATGCTTGGTGTGTGTGTGTGTGTGTGTGTGTGTGTGTGTGTGTGTGTGATATATATGTATGTGTGTAAACACACACACATTTCAGAGTCAGAAAGAGTCCTGCTCTTTGCAAGTTTACTCAAAAGTCAGCTCCTACTGAACACAATGGCGCTTGCTCTCAAGTAAAAGTGCATAGGATTGTAGCCTTAGCAGTGGAGAAGATCAAATCGTTCACTTGTGTTTCATATTCTGTCCAGGCTTCCAGTCCAAAAGAGTCGCTTCGCCAGGCGTGGTTAGCGCATTATTTTCTAAACAAAGACAAGATTCCAGCAACACCACCTTTTTCCTGCAGATGCCTTCTTCTCTGTGAATTCTTCATATTTTTGTGTTTATGCACACTGTCTGTCTATCTATCTATCTATCTATCTATCTATCTATCTATCTATCCTGTAATGTATATGTGTGTGAAACAGAAAGGGCTCTCATCTTCAGCTTAAAAAACGTCTCCTTTGTAGTCGACACAAAAAGGACAGGATACAGCAGCTTTGAAAGCAACCCATAGGTACATTTCCGCAGCCCAAAAATGCCAGTTTTACAGCTCTGTTTGTCTCACTGCTGGGTGCACTGAATAGAATTGAACAAAACAGGACCACAGAACCGGCTAGACGTCTGGCCTTAATTGTTTTATGGTTTAAATAAGGTGGGTGCTCTTCTCTTTGAAACCGGATTATTGGACTGTTTTGTCTACCAGCAACAAACAACAGACGCGCACACACACATACACACACCCCATTATAGCCCCCCCCTTTCCTTGGCAGAGGAAGGAGAGATAGGGGGCAAGCGGGGGGGTGCCTTTTAAAAGAGGGAGCGGCGTGAGGTGGGGGAGGTGAGCAGGAGAGATGATAGAAGCTGCTGCATTTTGCTTGCGTACGGACTGTGTGCCCATGTGCACGCGCATGTGTGTGCACTGTTGTCGTTGTTATGGTGATGGGTACTTTTAGGGTTTGTGGAGGGAGGGGGAAACATGAAAAATGGGGAAACCTGCTGCCATTATTACAACACACACACGATTATATATATAACCACCAAAATCTGATTTCGGTCCCTTATTGACTGAATGATGGATGCAGATCTTGATCATCACATTCGATATGTTTTTATTCACCCCACATTATGTAAAATCAGATTTTGTTTCGTTTTTGTTTCCTTTTGGACATAAGTGGATGCATGTACTGGAGGGGAATGGGGGGGTTGTAAAAAGAGCGCGGTGATTGATGATGGGAGATCTTTCTCCATTTCTGTTTTGTTTTTGTTTGTTTTTTTTTGTAACTGAAAGGTTATGTTTTGAAGACGCGTGCCTTGGGGAGAGCTAGCGCAAGATGGCGCTGTTGCTCAATCTTAGAAGCGATTAGCTGATTTACTTACAAAGCCTGCAGTTCGCACCTTTAGGCCTCTCAGAGATTGTAAGAAAAACAGACCTCAAGAAATAAGTATATACAACGCCTCTCACCTGAGACTCCCGGCTATGGTTTGCAAAATAATGTCAATTCTGGGTTGGAGCAGAAACACGCTTTTTCTTATTTAACTGAATCTTTTAGATAAAATAAATGTTGAAATTGGGTTTGCATAGCTCTCCACAATCATAGACGCAATACATATATGCAGTGAGAAAAGGAATATTCAGTTCATCGACAGCTTGTCAAATATATCAATCCTCTGCCAGAAAAATATATTTTATGTGTTTTTCTTTATTAAAGTCAAGATACAGTTGAATTAAGAAAAGCGATCACATTTTAAGTAGCAGAAGCTTTGTGTATGGAATAAGAACAGTACGTTTTGAAAATAAAGATAAAAACACAATCGGTTATACCAAGCTAGTTATGAAATATTGTAGTTCGCTCGCACACACACATATACATGTAAAACTCCACCATGAACAAGGAGCTTGGCGTTTTCTATGCATCTTATATGACAAAATGATGATTTTCTTCCAATAAAAGAACAGTATCTAGCGGAATTGTATCAAAATACTTTTCAACGTGAAGATTATCGATCTCTTCTCTGCATTTTCCTCTGTTGACTCTCAGAACATCACAAACACCTCTATTTTCTTCCTTTATGCCCTGGTTCAGTTGCAAATGCTATTTTTTAATTCTTCTTAATTTTTTTAAAAAATGATCTGCATGGTGGATGACGTTGGAAAACATTTCACCAACTTTCTGCCTTCCCATCAGCTGCTTAAAAATGTTCAAGAACATGTACGGTAAAACCTGAATTTACATATCCTGACACTGAACACATTTCAGTAAGGGGAAGGTTTGGCCACTGGAATTTTAAAACTCGGAAGCAATATTGATCACTGTCCTTGAGCAAGAATCCTATTGACTCTGAGCCGTATCTGCCAATTAAGCAAAGGTCTAACCCATTCAGTTGTTACATGTGTTGGAAAGAAAGAAAGAATCTATTTATTTTATTTGGTAAGCCTTGGTTAAGTCTTGCCCTTCTCCTTTGTTGGGAGAGGGGAGAAATTACAACCTGGGGACAGACTTTTGTTGTTGAAATTAGACAAAGGAAAGTAAGAAGTAAGGCTATATAAGTTAACAAAGGTGGGGGGAGGCAAAATATGTCCATGGATTTGTTTCCAAGAGTGTTTTACGGTTTTGTACGCATTAGAACAGTTGGGATTTCCTCAGTTCTGGTTTTCTCCACCCTCTGAAATTCATTTACTTGCCATTTTCTGGGGAAAGGGAGGGGGAGGGATAAAGAGAAACCCAGTAAGAGATTTTGAGAGGGGAGAAGGGGGTTGCTGATGAGTTTATGAAAGGGCCATGGGAACAGCTAATTTATAGAAGTGTGCCTGATTCTTGTCTTATTTAAGAAGCTCCCGCACCCCCCACCGCCAGCCTCGCAAAGAAAGAAAGAAACCAGCCCAGGAAATATTAATTTGCAAAGTTTAGAAGAAGGGGAAAGCTGCTGGTTTTATGCTTCTGTTTAATAGCCTGGGTTCTTTAACGCAGTCGTAAAAAGGAATGTGCAGCCCCCCCAACGGAAAGTATTCAGCCAATGGTCACTCTGGAGTGAAGAAAGTACATGGGGGGGCAGGAGAGATGTTTGCAATACATGGATACTACATACGACTACATGCATAAGACATGCGAACAATTACCCACCATTTGGTAAAAGCGACGGGGGTAGGTAGATACATCCTACATTTTGCCACACCAAAAAAACCCTTCACATCCTGTGGACCTTCTGCCTCCCTCCGCCCCACTTTCCCAACTACTTGGACGAGACATTTCCTGTGGGCAGGGTATAGTTATTTCCTTCAAGTGAAGCCTTCCAGTTATTTTCAGATGGGAAGATTCAACCATTGGTCCAAAGACAAAAAGAAAATATAAGCATATTATTTCTACAATCTTTATTTGTTTAAAAGGCGCACACACACACACACACACACACACACACACAATAATACATAGTAATGGCATTCATAGCCATCTAAGATACTCTAGGCTCCCTTATGTTCTTTCCCTCAGTCTCTCTCTCTGTGTTTTAAAAGAGGGGTTTGCTCTCTTTCTCTCCCCCCCCCCCGGCTAATCATAACACCCCCTAAGAGTGACAGACACATAAATAAGGACAGTTCCATTGCTAGAGTTGGGGAGAGGGTTGAGTTTTGGAGGGGGGGTTCCCCCTTGATTGTCATCATAATAAGGCCTCCTGAAGCTATCCGGTGTTTATTTCTGCCCCTCCTCCCAAAATTGATCCGGGTTGGCGTTTTATACCTATTACCTGTTGAAGTAACCTAAATTGACCTCGCTGGCGCATGTATTTGCTCAGATAAGTGAAGAGGCTCCGTAGCATGGGGGGGGGGGGAGAGACAGAAGGAGCACCTAAGGGTATTACTGCGCACCTTTCATAACCCTGCTCCATTCACTAGATATGAGGGTGTATGTGTGTGCGTGCGTGTGTTTTCTCTCTTCCCCCTATCCTCCTTCTGAGGGCTGATTATTTCACCTCCCCGTCACCCCACGAACCCCCCGATTTCCTTGTCATTTTCTTCCTAGCCTGTCTTGGTGTGGTGGATTGATGAATCCAGATCGCGTGTGAGAGCAAGCGAAAGAGAGAGAGAGAGAGAAAGAGAGAGAGAGAGAGAGCGCCTCACCACCGGGATTTTGAGGAATTTGCCTGTGGTGTTAAAGGGAAGGGAAGAAGTAAGAGAAACTGAGAGAGAGCTCTACCTATCGACGGATATAAGAGAAGTCAAGAGCATTAGGCATAAGCAGCCATACCCACTCAGGCACTATGAAACGTCTTTGAGAGAGCGAGAGAGCGCGCGCATTAAAAAAAAAAAAAAAAAGGCACAACCAGCCACTAACCAGGACTTTGCAGAGTCCAGAGAGAGCGAGAGCGAGAGTCCTTAGCACTGATCTCTTTATAGAATTAAAGACTTTTTTTTTTTTTTTTTTGGTGGTGGTTGGTGGTAAAAGGTTGGTTTCCTCCTTCCTTTCATGCGAGAGCCATGAGTTCCTACTTTGTAAATCCTCTTTTCTCCAAGTACAAAGGCGGCGAGTCTCTGGAACCAACTTACTACGATTGCAGATTTCCACAAAGTGTAAGCAGAAGCCATGCTCTCGTGTACGGTCCGGGCACCACGGCTCCCGGCTTCCAACACCCTTCACACCACGTCCAAGAGTTCTTCCACCACGGAACCTCCAGCATCTCCAACTCGGGATACCAGCAAAATCCTTGCGCCCTGGCGTGCCACGGAGACGCTTCTAAATTCTATGGATACGAAGCCCTACCAAGGCAATCGCTTTATGGTGCCCAGCAAGAGGCGGCCGTGGTACAATATCCTGACTGTAAATCCTCTTCCAACAGTAACTCTAGCGAGGGACAAGGGCATTTAAATCAAAATTCTTCTCCCAGTCTCATGTTCCCATGGATGAGACCTCACGGTTAGGACCATTTTTTTCTCCTTCCTCCTTAAATGTGTTCTTTTCTATTTAAGCAGAGAAAGAAAGAAAGGGTTTTAGGGAACGGGGGGGAGGGCGGGGGGGAATCTGTATTTTGGAGAGACAGGCAAAGGCAGATAGATAAATAGTAGGGTTGGTTGCAAGAATGTTTCTTCTTCCTGTTTCGGGAGGGGGTATATATATATATATATATATATATATATATATATAGTAAACAAGGCTGTAGCTGGCTTTAAAAGGCAATAAGGTGATTTCTGGGTTTAAATCACAATAAAGTAAAACTTTTTTAAAAATAGCTTGCCTCCAGGAGAGCAGTAAGATACAGCTCCCACGAGGTTATTAGCATGTTGATAATACGCTGGGTGCCCCCCCCCCTCTAAAAATGTCATATAGCTTTTCCTAACTGCTTGACGTCTTGGGCTAAAAGGTGAGCTTTAATAATAATACAATATCGCTGCAGATCATTTGAATATTTCGAGAGATCTTTAATATTTAAAGTGTAAACTTTGAAGGGCAACTTTGTTCACAATTTTTTTTTTTAAGGAAAAGACTTAAGAACACTTAGAGATGATGGTGATGGTGGTGGTGGTGATAATAATAATATTAACAACAACAATTATAATGGTGACAGTAGCAGTAACGACTCTACAAACTGCTGTATTAAAAGTAACTTTACTGAAAGGAGCAGTGCCAAAATGCCCACAGAATTCTCTAATACTCTGCTAAGCATAAGTTTCAGAAGGCTTTTTAATTCAAAACACATGAAGGCTCGTTTGTTTGTTTTTAACTGGGAAATTAAAGGACAGCTTTAGCTATAACCCCCCCTTCTTTAAAACACAGTTGTGTAAAGATGTCTCAGAAAGGCTTCAGATCGGACATATAACACGGAGCAGAAGATTAGAAGTTATTGTTATGATTGACGATTCTTACTTCCAGGCAAGCCTGTAATAAAAATCTCGATAATAAAAAAATGGGGGAGGGATGGTTGTTGTTGTTTAAAAACAACAACAGCAACAGCAACAACAACAGCAATCTCGTATGTAAGAAATAACAATATATACAAACTGTGGTATTTTACTATAATTATTGTTGCTGGGTTGGCTTTGAGTGCCTTTTCAACGTTTGTATATATGTTGCTACAGCCATGCATATGGATGCCTAAATAGACACACAGAAAGCAGCAGCAGAGTCCAACCCACCCACCCCCAAAAAATTAAAACTGAAAGAAACTGTAGTGGAATACCTATCCTGAGGGTTACTAAGGAAAACCGAGAAACAAGGAAGTATTTTTTTAAAAGTGCATTTGCACTAGGAAGTCAAAAGTAAATTTTGCACACAGACAGGGGAGGAGGAGGGGGAGGAATGGGTGGCAGGAGGTCTGCCTTGGAACTCCGATTCCTAAGGTAATTTTATTTCAATATATGCTTTCTTTCATTTGACTGTTGGAATGCTAGAAGGGGCTGTAGGAGGTGGGAGACAGACAGTGGCGAGGGTAGTGGGTGGGTGGGAAGTGGTCTGTTGTCATTAGGAGACATGAAGGCAGAATCAAAGCGAAGAGAAGAGACCCTAACAAGTTATTTGTTGTTGTTGTTGTTGCCTGTTCAACAGCTCCCGGAAGGCGCAGTGGCAGGCAGACTTACAGCCGGTATCAGACCTTGGAGCTAGAGAAGGAGTTCCTCTTCAACCCCTATTTGACACGGAAGCGGCGTATAGAGGTCTCTCACGCCCTGGGACTGACAGAGAGGCAAGTCAAGATCTGGTTCCAGAACAGGAGGATGAAATGGAAGAAAGAGAACAACAAGGATAAACTCCCCGGAGCCAGGGACGAGGAGAAGACGGAGGAGGAAACTAACGAGGAAGAGGAAAAAGAAGAAGAGGAAAAAGAAGAAAGCAAGGACTGATCTCTCAGCTCCTTGAAGTCCTCGTTTTATGGCAGATGATAAATCGAGATGTTTACGACGGTCATTCGCTTTTATAGAGTATAGAATGGAGAGACTCACACACAACAGTAACTACCTGTCAAAAGAGTTGTAGCTCCCCCTTTTTATTGTCATAGGACTTCCCTTAGTTCCCCCCTTCCTTATAGCAGCATTTTTTAAAAATAATAATAATAATTTTAACTTTTTAAAAACAAAAACATTTTTTTTTGTGTTTGGCTTCCAGTGAAATTACTATAGAACAGGATTGACTTACAGATCCAGTCCTAAACCCAGCACTATCTCTTTCCAGACGAATGGACCTCTTCGCCATCACCACCACCAGCAGTGACCCCACCCCCTTCCACTCCTTGCTTTCTTCTAGTTGTCAGCAAATACAAGGATCTTATATATTTATTTGGGATAGGAAGGACTCCTATTTCTTCTCGACCAGGTTTAACCACCTCCCCAAGTTTAATAATATAAAAGGTAAAGGGAGGGAGGGAGGGAATGTATGAAAACGCTTTATGCTTAGTCTTAACTTTAAAACAAACAAACATCCCTATCTACCTATGTGCTCTTCCATGCCAAGGTCCATTTCTTATTTTTAACTTTTAGCTGTGTCAATCAATAGCTACTAAATGACAATTTCTTCTTGGAAGATGGAGGCTTGGCACATGCCTGAAGACAGCACCACATGCTTATTAGTTATCTATGAATATATCTGTATGTTGTGTCTACCTATATACGCCCTGCGGTTTGGCAGGAAAAAGCTATAGCATTAGGCATTTTGGCTTGGAAGGAAGCCCCAGCCAAATCAAAGGGACTTACGTTTGATGAAACATGCTTAGGATAGCTGTGAAGGACACGGAACCACCTAATGATTTCTCTGGGTGTTGTTTACTATATTACTCGTGTGAGCACTCGAAATTCTTAACATACTACCTAATGGGAAACCTGCAATAATCATCTATTAGCAACAAGGTGGGGGCTTACACATACTTAAAATAAAAAACAAAAAACTTGTTCGAATCATTTTAAAGAGGAGTTGTGTATTGCCCTAATGCAAGCTACTAAGTAGCAGAAAATAATAATAATAATGAAAAAGAAAAAAGAAAAAAAGAAAAATACAAAAAACACATTGTAATGTATCTTATCACTACCTATAGAAGGAGTCATGCTTTGAAAGTATTTGTAACGCGGTTTTGTTGTCGTATGTTGCTGCTTATTTTCTCTTGGAAAAAAATAATTCCCAACAACTGAAACTGCCTAGATAAGAACGCACAGTATTGTATTATTTTATTGTGCTTATAATGTAGTTTAGGACTTAAATTGCACTGAATGTATAGTTATCTATTTGTCTTGACTTATCTGTTAATGCAACATGCTCGAATTACACACACACACACTCACACACAAAAAAACATACACACTTGTCATTGTTTTATGTAAGCCATCGTTCTCTGCGTGTTCAAAACTCTGAATGTAGCAATTTCTGCCAGAAATCCAATTCTGGCGACCGTGGATTTGTATTGTATACGTGAGTCATTACGTAAATAAACAATAAAAATTGAGGGGAAGAAAAGGATTGTGGCTTCTTAAGCAGTTTGCCAATTCTTTAAATCCACATCCACTGACTCAGGAGGTCTTGGCAGAAGCCACTGGACGATTCATACGTTCAAGTTACTTAACAGTTCAAAACCAAGACTCAGGCTTTTCACTTCCAAAGAAATGAGGCGTTACGTTAACACGTTCACAGACTAGAGTTAAAAGCCTTAAGTACGTAGGTTTGGAACGCCACGGAGACCCGTGGAACTTGGTGTCACTTAAGGATTAGCGTCAAGACAGCAACTGGGTAAACAAAGAGAGGAGGCGAAACTCCTTCCGTCATGACCATCAGTTCTCTGCTGGTGCTATGAATTCACACGAGAAGATCTCTTAGGCTGAACTCCTCAAGACGCCTACTGGGGAGTAAGTCCCATTAAATATACAGAGGCTCTCCCTGCACCTAACAGACGCGTTACAAAGATTCACGCCCCACCTTCGCCTAAATTGAGCTTTGCGTTCTGTTGCTAGCCTTCAAATTTCTACCTCTACTAGTATATTACTTCTTGCTTTGCTATAAAGTATAACAATGGTTTTCTTTAGCTTCTTACGTTTTTAAAGCATATCAACAGCGACACTCTTCCTTCCACTGGCATTCATGGGGGGGGGGGGTTCGAGTGTTTGTCCACTGAAAATGTCATAGTTCGCCATTTCACACCTAATATTTTGTGGTGTACGTGTGTGAAAGTGTGCAAAGACGGAAATAGCTGGAAGGAATCCGTGTGTCTCACGTCCCTGTCCATATCTACATTATGAAACGACTGGAAGGAGACATAATGGAGACATTAAAAGGGGGCTTTGCGATGAGCTGGTACTTATTTATTTATAAGAAATACTTGGTTCAGGAGCACAATCAGCAAACTGGAGAAACACCCTGAATATTTTCCCATCGTGTGAATGTACGCAAAACACACGTTGCTTGACAAAATAATACTGGCAAACATGTTTATTTTCTCTCTTTCTTACTCACACATGCAGAGAGATTGTGTGTGTGTGTGTGTGTGTGTGTGTGTGCATACACATATACAGGCATACACACAATATTGAGAGGGCGAGTAGGTATTCCTAGAATATTATTATATCTGGCCTGCGGTGAAATGGACTTCATCCCACAATGGCATTTGGTATGAAAATGGACAGGTTGTTTACACTGATACCCCAGATAAGGCATTGCAAGATTCCTAAAATACATCCTGGCTTAGTAAACTGAATCTGGAAAAGATACTGGGAGGCTGAGAACATTCTTAACTTCCAAAAACTAACACTGAAGTCTTTAAATATTTAAATAACTGAAGTGTGTGTGTTTGTGTGTGTGTGTGTGTGAGAGAGAGAGAGAGAGAGAGACAGACGTGCTGGACATTGCAGAAAACAATTGTACAAGGGGAAAGACAGTGTGATGTCTATTTACGTCGGATCCATGAATTCCTACTTCAGCGTTTTTTATTATTTCATTGGAGTGTTGCGTATTTGTCTTTAGGGTTCTGGAAAAGATAGTGGCTATGCAGGAATATTCAGTGCATTATCCGAAGGTGCTTGTTTGGATGCGACAAGGAACTGTTGAACCTGACATAATATTAGAAGCCGGCTGCAGGTTGCGTCCAGGGGAACAATCTTCTCCAAACATAAAAGCACCGTCCTTTATAGCATAATGCAGGCTTCCGCGGTGATAAATGTAGGGTGCCTATGATTCTTTTCAAAATTCTAGTTAGGAGTGTGTTTAGGAGGGGGGAGAGGACCATTTGATTGACTGTGTACAGTACTACACACATGCATAGTAAAGACAGACTTTTGCACCAGCTGATAGAATTCATACCCACAATACCAAGTCGCCGCTCTTGCCCAGGCATAGATGTGTACACGCCTATTATTATTAAATGGCGTATTCTTGAGTGGACACTCTCAAGACTTCATCAATTCCGCCTGCTCATTGCAAGGGACCGACAATAAAGCTTTGCCATTGTGTAGACTTTATGAGGCTGCAGAATAGAAAGGTAAGTCCATTGTGTTACTCATCATAACTAGGGGAAGGCCAGACCTGCCTTAAGGAGAGATTTAGACATCTATATCTATCTATCTATCTATCTATCTATCTATCTATCTATCTATCTATCTATCTATCATCTTCTGAGTTGGGTTGTCTCGTGGTAATATCTAATATAATGGCGACTTTTCCTACAGCGGATTACAGAAGTTTAAAGCGTGGCGGATCCACACATTTTAAAGCAAAGCTTGGGAGCATCTTATCATCTTCCGAACTAAGTCCATGGTGTTCCCTTTCGAGAATCATTCTCTGCACAACCCGCACCAACCCATCTCTTGTCCCCAAAGGGGAAGTGGCCGGATAAACTACTCTTACAGAGATTTGAAGTAGATTCAAGAAGAGGCGAGAAAACTTAATTTCAAAATAAGGGAATTAAAAGGGCGTGGGGGGGGGGGAGAGAGTGAGAGAGAACAAAAAAGAAAAAGAAGAAAAAAGAAAAGAAAAAAGAGCTGTATCTGCACTCTATCCATCATATTTAAGTCCATGTTCTTAAGTGGTTTGATTTGAAGGAATCTCCCAAACGATACTTATCTATCATAGGGTTAGAAGTTAAATTATTGGAATTGCTAGGCAAAGCTGTTACATTTGGGGTGGGGCGGTGGTGGAAATGATTATGGCTTATAGTCAATACACAACAAAGTCGCATCTTTAGATGACATGCATTTACTATATATATATATAGTAATCACTTCATAATTTCCAAAGGGAGACAAAAAAGAGACAGGGAAAAGGCCATTTTTACGAGGCGAAGTAATTTGAAAGAAGATAATGCTCTTCACAAAGTGGCTGATTCGGAAATGATCATTACTTCAATATTACCGAAATGAGTTTCACCCACCCGCCTGGAGTAAGAAATATCATCCTATTCTGCATTTTTTTTTATTAGCCAATCAAAATTCCTTCAAATCTCCATTTGTGATTTGTGAAAAATAGAAATCCACGAAAAAGCTGCACTGGAGCATATTGCTCATTTTCTCTTAATTTATTATTCTAATCACAGCAGCCGTTACATGATAATGCATCCATTAAGCGGGCGGGGGTATATGTGTTGGAGGTGGGTGGGGTTTAGAATACTTTTCCATTCGAGACTTGGAAATGTGCACAAATGATATTTCATACACGTACCCAAAAGTTTGGAGGCCTAAGTTTTCAGGCAGAGGTTGAGAATAACCTGAATGAATGAAAGAAAAAAGTTCCCAAGGTAAAGTCGGGAAAGTAATTTTGCTTTCTCTATCTTTCTTCGCATTCTCTCTCTCTCCTGCTTTCTCCTTCCTTCCTTCCTTCCTTCCTTCCTTCCTTCCTTCCTTCCTTCCTTTTAGCATTCCCTCTCAATTTCAAGTTACTAATTTAGCATCCCCACCCTCCTAGGAAAAGTTCGGAGAGCTTCCCCTCCACCTCTGGCAACCCGATGCGAGGTAAAATCCGCAGAGCACCTAAACCAGTGAAACGTGTCTCCAGTATCAGGAGAGTCGGAATGCGGAATAAGATACAAAAGAGAGGGAGGGAAGGAAATGTATCCAACCTCTTTCTCCGCAACACTCGAAAACGTGCAGCATAGGTTATGCTTTTGCTGCAAGATAAAATTTCCTGTTCCCTTTATGGACCCTTTTCTCCCGAGAAAACGGGGAGCCCATTGTCTCCAGAGCCACTGTTGTGACGGTTCCTTCCTCGTCGTAACTTTTAACTACCTGTTATAAAATTTATTGGCGGTTTGTAAAGTGAAAAAAGTAATTTCCCTTCCGTCCGGTTGGATTACATCCTATAATGTGGGGTTTCGGGAGCCCCCCCGCCGCCCCAGACAGACACGC